AACCCCAAATCTGTCTTGGATCACGTGCCCTGGGTCTTTAAGAAAACAAACCAAACTCACACAGGACCAGAAGGTGCTACCCTAACCCTTCCCAACCCCACCAGATCCACCAACTTGGGGAGCAAGAGGCAACGCTGCCTAAGTGGCTGTGGATTCTGGGAGTGGAAGTCCCAAAACGTGGCTTTCCAAATCTCTGATTTCATATGATGAGAAAAAAGCCACAGAAGGGATCCGTCTACTCCTTTCCTTCTTCAGCACAACAGAGTCTGGAAGGATATTGTTTCCAATTTGTATTAACCCCCGTGTCCTCGAAACCCAGCAAACCATGGTTAATTCTAACTGAGGTTAAGAGAAACAACCCAACATCAAATCATGATTGGAAAAGCTGTCCTATTTTGATGAACCTAAGCTAAGTTTAACTTGCCTGAGAGTTTGACTACTCTAAGCTTTCATTTGCGTCATGGATGCCTCCGGATGGGGGAAACATGCCATAGTTTAGCACAACCTCAGACCATGGCTAACAAGGAAGAACGGAAGCCAAAATTAACAAATACCTAATCACAAGTGAGCACCATTATGTTCGCAACAACAACTCAAGAAGTGTGACCATACCACATGCTGCTGTCTGACAAACAGCAAGAGCCAAGAGAACAAGACGAGACAACGAACACGCACACGGCGGTCAGCCCTGGCAGGTGCAGATGACCGCACCACTGAGAACATCCTCGCTGCTGCTACCAGGGAGGGATGTGGCTCGAGGACTGCAGAGAACCAAAAGAAAGAAGAAATGACAGAGACGGATTCCAGATGAGCAAGGAGGCTTTGAGGCCTGAGAGAACAACAGATGATTCATTCGGGATACTGAAAAGGGCTCAGGAGAAGGGCAGTAGATGCAAACCTGTTGTGTTTTATGCCCCGCCAGTCGCTCTACGAAGGAATCCCACTACAACAGGAAGGACAAAAACATCCCCTTGAAAAAAAAGCCATTTCTCATATCCACGACTGCGTGTTGCCTGCCAAGTCAGAACTGACTTGCAGCAAACGGGAATTCGAACTCAGTTTTAGTCCACCCCTCTAGCTGCCACACCATACTGGGTGTGTTGACTAACATCCTTTCCTTGCCCTTTATGGTTTACAGTAGGTTTTAGAGACATTAATGTTTCCAGCCATGTTCGTAGCTGTAAACGCAAGCGTCCAAAGCCACCATGGCCACACCAAAAAGTCCCAAAGGGAATGCTCGTGGGAGGCAGAGCTGGAAGGAAATGGCCCGCCACCCCTGCGGGAAGACACGGCAGTCAAGGCAGAACAAATTCTTACAAATGGGTCCAAACACCCAGCCAACTTCCGAGTTCCACAGGGGAGAATCTCTACTCCAGATTTTTTTACTTCAGGTCCCAGAATCTCAGATCGCTGGCCAGGCTGGTGGAGACTTCTGGGAGTTGACGCCCTGTGTGTCTGAAGGGCCACATTTTGGAAACGTCTGTCCTAGAGACATGGAAACCGATGCATCAGTGATCTAAAGAGACCCAAAACGGAAGACTCAAGGACAGAATGCAAAAAGTTAGAAAGAAAGAGAGAGTTCCATTCTACACCAATTTCAGTTAGCCAACTACATTTTCTACTAAAGATGTCTACAAGACACAAGACTTGCCCCACAGGATTTAGGGGGCCTGTTTTCATCAGTGCTCGGAGAAGACAAGTCACCCCTCTCCATTTCCCCTATGGAGGGAGGGTCAAAACAGTGGGCAGGGGGGAGTCCTGGTTCTCCCCAGCATCCAGTCTCTGCTGCCCAAAATCCAGACCCCCCACCCGGCACCGACTAATGGGAGAAAGCCCTTGCGATGATGCCAAGGAGGTCCACGGAGAGGAAAGAGGGACTCCCGAGAGGGGAAGGCAGGGCAGGCCATGACCCTCTTGCACCTGCTTCTCCCACCCGTGCCATGACTTTATCGGGTAGAGAACGGAGGGGGCAGGACAGGCGCTCTGCCACCGTCAGCGGCTCCTAACATTTCTGTTTGCTCTGCAATTTCCAAGTCAACAGGTTTGGCCTGAGACCATGAAAACATCGGATGCTCACTCCCCCTCCTGTACAGGACCAGCAAGGCTTGATAAATATTAACTTAGCAACCGTGCGGCAGTTCGTGCGGCAGTTCCGCAGAGGAGTCAGGATGGCTCATATCGCGTGCTGTTTGACTCCAAGGCCAAGCAAAGAACCCACACCCACACGCGCGCACACACACACACTCAGGCCTGTGAACACTCAAGCCGATACCCCACCCCACCTTTCCCTTCCAGATAGACGTTCAACGCATCGGCTAAAAATAGAACCTGAATTACTCCAGGGAGAGGCGGCTCCCTATTCCGGCCTGTGTGATCATCACAATCATCATCATCACGCACACGCACAGGCTAGTCCAAAAGGGAAAGTTTCACACCAGCCATGAAAACCACAAATGCTCCCTTGTATCAAAGCTGGAGGCGCACGCTGGGCCTTTATTAGGGAGACTCTGAGCTGTCCCAGGGAGACGGGGGGGGGGTTGCTGTTCCCTGGATTGTTAGAGGGGGGTTGTGAATGGGGGGGGCGGGGGGAGAGGAGGAGTCCAGAGAGGAACGTGGGAACCGGAAGGAAGGGGGCACCTGAGGAGGAGTGATGGGGAGGCTCAGACAGGGTGTCTAGGGTGCATGGGGGGGGGCAGGAGCAGCAGAGGAGACCAGGACCCCCAGGGGAGAAGCTGGCAGGAGCAGAAGGGGTGGATGGGTGCTCAAGAAGCAGGGAGGGCCATTTGGGGGGGCACAGGGCAAGGGGGGGCTTCAGGGTCTGCAGGACCCAGCAGAAAAAGGAAGGCTGAGGAAGTGCTCTGTGGAGGCGGGACCACGCCTGCCAGGGATATTCTGGGGGGGGGGGGGTGTCGGACGGCCGCCAGAGACGGTGGGGTAGCACAGATGGGGCTGGAGGCATCAAGCAGGAAAGAGGGTGAGGCGTGGGGGGGGCACGCAGGGGCAGAGAGTGGCGCGAAGGGGGCCAGGCGAGCAGCCAAGCCAGAGTGAGACAAAAGGCACAGGGAGGGACGGACGGACGGACGGGCAGAGTTAGGGGGGGACCCTAAAGAAGGAGTTACAAGGAGCCCCTGCCAGGAGGCAGAGAAAGGAAGATCGCCTGCATGACTACACTTCCCATCAACCCCACCTACGCAACGGACATAACACCCACCCTCCTCGGAGAGAGCTATGCTAGTGGGGTGAAAGAGTTCACAGTAACGTTGGAGGGAGAGGGGGGGACCCCACAGGAAGCCATGTTGGACTACATCTCCCATCCAACCCTGAGCTAAAACTGTACCTTTGGGGATAATGGGAACTTTAATCCCATCCAGTCTGAAAGGTACCAACTTGAGTAGCCCACATGGGGGGGAAGGAAGGATCTGGGGGGTGCCCCCCCCGAAAAAGATAAGGGGGAAGGACAAGAAGGCGTGGCCTCCTCCAAAAGGGGCGGAGCGAAGGGGACCCCCCCCCAGAGTTCTAAAAAGGGAGGGGACAAGCGAGGAGAGCAAGACAAGAGTTCGGATAAAGGGGGCGGGGCCAGAAGGACGGGACCCCAAAGTGGGAGGAGCCAGGCGGGGGGCCCCCAGAGTTCCAAAGGGGCGCGTCCTGCCTCAGAGAGGGCGGGGCCAGCGGGCGAGACAAACAGGAGGGGGGAGGGGAGGGGGCGCACCTGAGCGTTCGAAAGGGGAGGGGCCTAGGCGGCCGTTGGAGGCGCGTGAGGAGGGGGAGGGGCGCGAGAAAGTTCTGAGGGGAAAGAAAGTCCCGCCTGAGGAGGAGGAAGAAGAGGCGCCGCCGCTCACCTTGCTCGCCGTCGTCCTCCGCCGCCGCCATCCCGAGCGCCTCGCAGGGCCGCCGGCTGCGAGGGGAGGCGAAGGGAAATAAGCGCTCTTCCCCTCAGGCGGGGGAGGGGGAGGGAGGAGGCGAAAGGGGCGGAGCCTCGCCTCAGTCGCGGGGACCGGGACGCTCCGGCCGGAAGGTGGAGGCTTCTCTCTCTCTCTCCCCACAGGCGGAGAGAGTGTGTGTGAGAAAGAGAAATAAATAAACAAGTGTACGAGCGGCACTGGGTGCGTGTGTATGCGCGCGGGTGCGCGCGCGTGTCTGCCGCCGGACCCTTCCTCGCTCGCTCTGCGCCACTTCGGACCGTCCCGGAACTCGGCGCGCGGGCCGCGGTTTCCGCCCGGAGGCGTTTCGAGAGGGGGACACGTCGCGCGGCGGACGCCCCCCCCTCCCTCGCCTTCTTCCTCCTCCTCTTCGGGTGTCAGGGCAGTTGAGCCAATCAAAAGGCCTCGGCGGAGGGGGGGGTGGAGAGGGAAACCACGCCCCCAAACTCCTAATTAGGAAGGAAGCGGCCGGGATAGATGGGGACGAGACGGACCTGAAGGAAGACTCTGTTGAGGAGGAAGGGCGAACGAAACGCCTCGCGGCCCCATCCATGACCCAAAGGTCTGGATTTCGTGTCTTTTTTTTTAAAAAAATCATTATTATTTTAATTCATTGGCCTCTGCTTTCCTGGGAGGCGTCAGGGTTCGGTTTAGACTACACACTCCAGTATCCACTACTCTGGCTGAATAGTAGGTGCTGGGGGGTTGTAGTCCAAAAAGTAACTTTTACAATACCTACACATCCCTCTGCCAACCCAAATTAACTTGAAACACCACTTCAGGCAACTTCAAACACCTCATGAGACGCTAAAGAAAAGCAGTTAATAACTTGTGCCATATATATGTATATACTTATTATTAGAAAGGCTGACACAACCCAAATATTAAAAGTCTTCTACTGATCCCTTTCAGCTCCTGCCTCTTTTCTTCATACAACCTTCATTCGCTTATAAAACAACAATACCTCACAGCCAAAGGATGCACTTCATGCAGAAGTGCAAACCCAGTATCGCAGATTACTTTAATTTAGGTTTTATAGTTACTGTATTAAAAGGGGGGCTGCTTTTTAAAAAGGCTTACTTTATTTCTTGAACATATGCACGTCCAGGCTTCAGTGGCTGGCTCTTCACAGCCAGAAAGAGAGAGCGGCAAGGCTGGAAATTGCTTGATTGCTTCCTCACCACCCTTATAAAAAAAGGAAAGGAGGGAAGGAACAATAAAAGGTCAGGTCCTTTCAGAGATGAGGTTATCCCTCCACAGGTCTGGGGGCCTGAGTGGGGCAGGGAAGACTGCCCTTCACTGTTAGTAGCTCCTGGTCCTGTGAAATCACAGAATCGCCACCCTTGCCAAGCGCCTTCCTGAAGGCCCCACTCTCAGAGGAACAATGAGGCTGTGGGCAGCCCTCCGGAGCTCGCCAGGCCCCGTAAGGAGAGGGACACCGTGTCCCCTACGCGACAGCCTCCAGGCAGCTAGCCGAGTGCTTTGCATTCTCCCAGCTGTGGGCTGCCAACAGCATGCTGACAGGCAAAGCATGCCGAATATGTACGGCGGCGGTGGGTGTGTGCGTGTGTGTTCAGCTTCTGGTTGTCTTGTGTGTCATCTTTCTGAAAGGCAGGGAGGAAGTGAGCAACTGACCTCCTTAAGGGAAAGACAGAGGCCAGCAGCCCTAGTGGTCCACCAGGCTGGAGGAATCTTGTTTCACCCATTCATTTGCAAAACCTCACTGATTTTGCTATGAACTGGGACTAAGCTGATCCACAGCTTGGATTTTTTTGATCCCCTTTCTCAAACTTCTCACCGGCTGTGAGAAACAAAGCTATAGAGAGACACTGACTGACGCGCCATCGTTTCCAGCGCAATGGAGCCCCCAAGGGCCTCTCTGAGCCATTAGAGAGTGTCAGCTGGCGATAATCAATATATCGCAAGCTAGCCAGGTCATGCTTCCAGCTGGTGATCAGATCGTGCGATTAGACCAGAAAGCCCAGGTTGCACAGGATTTGCTGACTGCTTGCTCCCTCAGGGGTCATCAACTATTTTCACCATATTTCAGAGTTTGCAAAATCCCTTGGGATTTTGTTGTTCAAAAAATATGCATTTCCCATGCTCTGTTTTCTAGATTCCCCCAGGTAAAGCAGAATGGTTATTTCAAATAAAGTCATGGAATTCAGAGGTGGGGGGGTTGTCTCACACTTCTTTTGCTTTCTCTGCTTCTTACTCTTTGCTTCACCAGTTTCAGGACTGCCTAGGCACTGGCCAATAGCTCCTGATTCTACAACTAAGCCCAGGGGAAGTTCAACCTCAGCATGCTTCCTTACTGCCTGAATGAATTGCTTTCATTTCCCTAAGAAATCTTGATCCTACCTGGTGCCTCATGGACGCATGCCACTGCAATTCCCATCATCCCCAGCCAATAGAACCAGCAGCTAAAGGAAAGCTGCCTCTAAGCAAAGGAGGATGCTTAGCTGCGGGGAGTGTCATCTTTCTGAAAGGCCAGAGTCGGCCTCAAACCTCACATCAGTGGGAGCAGGAAGCTTTGGGGGGGGGGCTGTTGCGATCATGTGGCCACCCCAGCTGACCCGGGATGTGAATCGCTGCCTTTGTTCTTCCTCAGCCGTTGTTTATGTCCTTTAACAAAAGGACTGTTTATCATTTCTGGGAACACAGAAAAGTCCAGCAAAGAAAGAAAGGTTTGTCCAGCGTGTGAGTCCGGCTCCATCCATATAAAACTGCACCTCGTTTTGTTTTCTTGGCACTGAAAGAAAAGAAAAAGAATAATTAAATGGAAATGCTAGGTTGTTTTGTTTTCATTCCCCCCACCCCCACCCCCAGTTCTGGTGCAAAGGGGGGGCCCTCCGGAGGATTTCTGTGTGTGGCCCTTTCTCTATAAACCAACAGGAATGCAGCAGCCTAAACACTTTTTTTTAGCCAGGAGGTAAGCATGAGGATGTCCGTCAGAAAAGGCTTCTCAAGTCTACGCCTGTTCCCCAGCGTGTGTGTTTGTCTACATGGGGTGCAGCATTGTACCCTATAGCAGATTGACAGCGTCCACCGGAAAAACAGGCAGCCACCTTAAATTTAAAAAGCCGACATCCAGATTGAGGGAGAAATACACCTTCACTCGATCTGTGGGTTTCGGTCCCTGAGTGAGCAAAGAGCCGATGGCACACATTTCACCAAAACGCCTTCACCTTTAAAAGGAAGTGACAAAGCAACACGCAAAGGAAAGGACACAGAGACGCACATCCTGTCATCTCCACAGTGTTGCAGCATGGATGCCTTTGCTGAATCCGGCCAAAGAACGCTCAGCTCAGCGAGGGAAGGGTTTTCTTGGGTTTTGGACCACCAGCAAGGTGGCCTAATCCACACTGAGGACTAGCCTCTGCATAGGGCGCATGGTTACTGCTCACATCGAACCAAATGGTTTGTTTAAAAACCACTTCAAGCTACAGTAGCTCTGAGTTGCTTTTAACACAAAAGCAAAAACAGCTACTTATTTACATATTTATTTATTTCAGTGTCCAAAAACCCCACGCTGAAATGAACCGGCGAGTCATAAAGCTCTCCTGCGAGACTTTTTGTTCCTGTTTTGTTAGACCTGCTAACACAGACGGTCTGTTGGGAACGCATTTTCTTCCCCAGTGTTTTAACTGTCTTACATTGTTTTAAAATCACGGGGCGATGCTTCCATTCCACGCTACGATCCTGAACACAAAGAAACAAATGACCGGGCATGTTCTTTGCTTCGCTGGAGGAACGGGGCTCTGTTCCCGATCTCTGAGTCCTCCGCCTCTTTCAACCGTCCGCCTTTCCAGAAGCCTGGAGAAGCTCCTTTTGAGAACCACAACTCCCAAAATCCCCCAGACACCATGTGGAGGATTCTGGGAAGCGGCAGTAAGGGCATTCTGGGAGTTTCATTGGGAAAAAAAAGGCAACTTCCCAAACTTCTGGGGGCATATTTCCTATGAAGAGAGAGCCCAGAGGAGGAACCCCAAGGGGGCTGGAATCCGCTGAAATCGACACAGGGCTGAGCATCAGCTGGTGGCGCTCGGTCTTGTCGCTGCAAGACATCCTGCGAGAATACCTGCCCGCCGTGGAGGAAGCTCTCGCACCCACCCCCCTACCCGGAGGCTTTGCACCCCTTTGTACGGGAGAAGATGGTGATGGGTGCCAGCTTAGCTTGCAAGGCGTGGGCAAGGGGCGGTGGGAGAGGATGAGGATCTCTTTGTGAGTCACCAGGCCAAGCGGGAAGAGAGCGCAATAAAGAGGATAGAAGGGATTGGAGCGAAGGAAAGGGGGGATCAAGGCACACGAACAGATGGCTGGGAAGCCCAAGGAAGAGGAGGCGACACGCACACACACGGCAGCCGGGCCCTTCGGCCTTCTCCTCTCTTCCCTGCACCTCCCAGCGGAATTTGGGCCCCCCCCCCCAGCTTCTGAGCAAAGTTCGTTGAGCTTAAGAAGGGGTACGAGATCCTGAGGTGGAATTTGCGGAGGAGAAGCCACAAAACCAGGACTTTGGGGGGGCCAAAGCAAGAAGAGATCATTTCTATGTCTTGTGGTTTCGGCCTCTGTCTGCGGAGCCCGAAGCTGGGCGTGCGATTCCCTACTGGGCCTCCCGGAGAGGAGATGGGCTCGGTGATCCGTAGGGTCCCTTCCAGCTCTGCCGTTCTAAGAGGATGAGGATAATTGAAAGATCAGAGAGAAAGAGAAAGCAGCACGGTCTGGGCCAAGCCAGTGAGAGGTGAAAGAGATGCAAAATGCACGCAGGCACAGAGCTGAGGCAGGCTCCATTTTTCAGCCAACCAATTCTCAAAATTCATCGGTGTTGTGGGGGGCTTGTCAGGCTCCAAGGTGCTGCAAGGTTACTACTGTGTAGGAGAAGTGGCACGGTGTCCGGTATTGTATATACTTTAATAATTCCCCCCCCCCAAAAAAGAGTGTTGGGTTAAGTTTCAGGAGACTTGGTTTCAAATCCCAACTCGACCATGGAGGCCACACGTAAAGCTTAGCGGCTCTGATGTCTTTGCAAGGCAGGAAATCTGCTCCGGATTTTAGTCTGAAATGTGCAGGAGCCGTTAAAGTCCCGAACCCTGTCACCGCATGTATGGACGCACCTGCCGACTGGGGCTAACATTTTCACGGAAATGTCCCCTCATGAACCGATCGCGCTCAGAGATGACCCTCAAATAAATACCGATATTGTTTGCTGACCACCTTTTTCAGCTGCACTTTCACAAAAAACGCAGCTAGATCTGGTAAGCCCCTCGGTTCAGTCTACATGGAATGAGGGGTCTCCCACCCCCACCCCCCGGTCGGAGTCTCTCCGAAGCGTCGCCTTCACCCATCTGAGAGTTTCAACAGTGCTTGAAAGAGGGTGGAATAATATCTTGATTAATGCTGAATAGCTGGCGGTATTTTTAGCACCATTAGGTACGATCGGCGGCGACAGTTCCATCCGTGGGAGGACCAGAGGAAGTGGGTTTTGCCGTGCAAGAACAAGGGAAATTGGGTGGGTGGGTAGGGGAACTGCAATTGAGGGAGGCAGGCACGTGTGAAGTTTGCCCGTGACGATTTAGGTGGAATGGTGCAAAAGGAGCAAGAGATTCAAACGCCGCTGCAGTACGTTCCTTATGAGCGGAGGAAAGGGAGGACCGGGAGATCTGTGTGACTCCTGCTTTCCCAGCGGTGCTCACAGTGGGTGGCGGACAACTTCGAGGCTTCTGGCCTTTTCCTCTTTTGGGGTCTTTTCTCATGAACGCCTCCGGCTGGACACTCCTCCCTAGGGAGGGCACTTTTTCAAAGAAGTGGGCCCTGGGGTGCCTCATTCAATAAAAGTGGAAGCAGGGTGGTGGGCTTAAAAAGAAGCCGGATGGTGTTCCACTCTACGTCCAGCCCCCGATCCACATAGAGACTCTTTGCCTCACTTTCCAGTTCAAGCCTTCAGTTCAGAAAGGCGCTTCCCCAGTGCCATGGGAGCGAAAGGCTGGGGATGATAGGGCTTGTAGTCCAGCCTATCTGTTTTGGGAAAGGTAAAAATAGAGATTTTCAAAGAGGGAGACAGACGTATCCAGAGCTTGGCCAAGGGGTTGGGCAGGGAGGGTCCTGGCCTTCTGTCTCCAAGTTGAGAATGAACGGCTGCCTAGCTGCTTAGGAGAAAGGCAGCGTTGATCTTTCGCCTATCAATAGCGGGCCCAGAAGCGAAGGTGGCCTGGATTTATGACACTTCCCGTCTCCTCGATTTAGCACTGCTGTGCTCGGAATAGCTGCTAATCCCCAGTATTAGGGGATTAAACAACTCATCAGAGTTCTTCTTGCACCTTTTTGCCTCTTTTCTTATTTTCTTCTTTTGGCAAGCACCCCCAAGCGCGTCAGCCACTGGGGTCACACTTGCTCTTTGCCAAAGAGACCTGTGTGGATGTTCCAAAGGGGCGATCAAGAGGAAAGGGATCCTCGGACTGTAGACCAGGCCACTGAGCCCCAATCCCTCTGAGGTCGCCTCAGCTGCTCTTAGCTGTCCCGGCTGTTACCGTGTTTCCCCAAAAACAAGACAGAGTCTTATATTCATTTTTGCTCCAAAAATGCATTGGGGCTTATTTTCAATGAATGTTTTATTTTTCTTCATGTAAAACAATCTACAGTACATTTATTCAAATACAGTCCTGTGCTCTTCTTCCGGTTGCTGCACGAGGGTGCAGGGCGGGGTTTCACTTAACTGGGGCTTATTTTTGGGGTAGGGCTTACGTGATGAGCATCCTGAAAAATCCTACTAGGGCTTCTTTTCAGGTTAGGTCTTATTTTCGGGGAAACAGGGTAGCTGCCAAGAGAGGAATGGGAAGCCATGGCTGGGCCCAGCCACCCCAAATCTGCCCATCCCTCCTTTCCAGCCCCTGTGATGCCACTTGTTGCCACAGTGGGGGGGGGGGCTTTGCTGCCACCCTCCTGGAATCAAAGAGCCACACTGGGCTCAAAGACACCCCCCCCCCAGAAGGAGCGGAAGAAGGGCCCTTGAGCCACCCTCTGCTTTCCCTTTCACATCCCTGACCTACCTCACAGGGTTCTAAGGAAGATAAACTGGGGAGTGGAAAAAGGAAAGATGAGTGGAAAAGTCAGGCCAAGAGTGGAACGTTGGCCCAGGGTTTCTCCTGCCATCGGCTCAGAGGTGGATGGGCCCATGTCTTTTCAAGCCGCAACAGCGTTTGGAAAAGTTACCATTACAAATGAGAGTCCGCTGTGACGGTTGGGACATTTTGGGGGGAGGGGGCTGTCATGCAAAAAAGCGACTTTTCCAGGCTGTGCTGCAGAGAAAAAAAGCCCCTGCATTTTCGCTCTGAGAAAAGCAGATGCCAAAACCCCAGCCTGTATTATTTCCCCAGAAACAAGGGCGACTTGGTTTCAGCGAGAATCAAAAAGGTCAAAATGCTGGGCTTTCATAGCACCAGCCCATTGCACAATGTACAACAGCAATTTAATTTTAAATTCAAAACATTTTTAAAAAATAGAATAAAATCAATAATTAAAACACACACTAAAAGTCTTACCGTACAGTATCTCGGTCTCTCCGCGCCTCCCTTCTCTGGACCACAGGCGCCCTCTGCCGGCGCTTTGTGGAATTGCACGCGGGAAGCCCCGGGGATTTTTTTTAAAAGCATCACCCCCATCTTGGATGACACGTGTCGCAGAGAGGATATGTTTGTGTGTGTTCCTGAACGATCCGTGTGGCCTTCTGAATCTGGTTCTGGTGACAAAACAAAAATTAAAATAAAACAAAGTAACCCCCCTTATAGATCAGTTTTTGCTACATATTTATAAGATGTGCAAACATCTGTAAGCTAGTTCTCTTTGCAAAAACACGCATCAATATCCAGCAATCTATATAATATTTACAGGTAGATTTTTATATACATTATTATGCGACACCTGCTTTTTTTTGGGGGGGGGCTGGCATTCAATCGCGCGCGTGGTTTTTCCACCTCCTCCTTTTGAAAGTTCGTAATTTAGAAATCTAGCAACAGTAACAAGAAAGACGCCCTCGAGTCCATATTGTATCCCCGGCCGGCTCCGTCGGGAACACAGTTCCAATCAAACCCTTTCCTCGTCAAACCCCCAAGCCAACCGCGGGACCCGCGTTCAGACGTGCCTCGCTTCACGGGCAGGCACGAGATTTGCAGAAAGAAATTTGAGGAGGCGGCGGCGGCGGAGGAGGAGGTTTCTGGGAAATGTAGTTTCAGCTTGAGGAGGAGGAGGTGGCGGCGGAACTACAGTTCCCAGCCTTGCAGGAGAAAGAGGGAGGGCGAGCCAGGGAGGAGGAAGCGAAGGCTCTCCTCTTTGCAGCCTTCCTGGATCCAGGAGGGCTCCGGAGGGGTTAGGGGTTTGGGGGGGGGTTGTTTTTGTAACGCCGATCGCGCGCCTCCTGCGGGCGCCCCATCCGAGGGTCCGACATGAACGTGGTGTTTGCCGTGAAGCAGTACATCGCCAAGATGATCGAGGACAGCGGGGCCGGCATGAAAGTCCTGCTGATGGACAAAGAGACGGTGAGTGGAGTCCAGCCCGGCGGTGGGCTTTGCTCCCTCCCCTGCCTGGCTTTGGGCAAGGGAGGGGGAGACAAGACCGGCTGCCCCCCCAGCCCTCCCCTCCCCTCCCTATATACATGGCCTTGCTGGCCTGGGCATCCCCGGCGGCGGGGGGGGGCAGGAGGCGCCCGGCGGACCGAGCAGCCCCGCCTGACCGCCCTTCCCTTCCCTTCCCTTCCCTTCCCTCTTTTCCTTCCTTCCTTCCCGGCCTGCCTCTTTCTTTAAGCAACTGGTCCCCTTCAGTGCCTGACTTGGGGAGGGAACTGGTGGGGGGGGAGGAGAGCCCCCCCTCCCTCTTGCGCGCCTTCCCCAGAGAGCTCTCTGGCAGGAGGGTGGCTACTCAGCAGACCGGCATGGTCAGCATGGTGTACACCCAGTCGGAGATCCTGCAGAAGGAGGTCTACCTCTTCGAGCGCCTCGACTCGGCCAGCCGGGAGAGCATGAAGCACCTCAAGGCCCTCTGCTTCCTGCGACCCACCAAGGTAAGGGGGCACCGGGCCAGGGTCCACATACACATACACACACACACATACACCGACCCTCACCTTCCCGCAGAGCAGGAGGACGGACTGCCGCGTCCCATCATCCACCGGCCCGACTCTCGGGGGGGGGGGGATGGGCCCTGTGAGCCCGACACAAGAGGAGGGCCCCGGCTTGACCTGTGTGCCCTTTTTTGCTCTGCGTTGTGCTGCCTTCGCTTGCTGGGAGCGACCGCCTTCCTCGGGACCCCCGCCCGCCGTGGGATTCTCTCCTGCCGGCCTTCATGACCCTGGGGGGTCCGTCTTTGGCCCACTTGTCTCCCCCCCTCCTTCCGAGCTTCAGCAGGCGTGGATTTCGCTGTGGCACCAAAGCCACGGATCTCTGTTCCCAAACCAGATCTCTTCCTATCCTCCCTTTTGGTGACTGATTTGTTTCAGTGGTGGTGGGGGGTTTCCAAGCCTGGGGCCTTTTGAGGTTTCGCCGCTGAATTGTTTGCCTGCTCCCCTGTCCCCCGAGAGACACCCCTCTTTTGTGGTGGCCTGGCAACCTCTTTCAAACGTCCCGGATGAAACTAACCCCTTTTCCTTTCCACATCGTGAGAGTCGGTCTCCGACTGACCCCCAGCTTGTTTGTCTTGATTCCTCCTGTCTAGGAAAACGTAGAGTACCTCATCCAGGAGCTGCGGAGGCCGAAGTACAGCACTTATTTTATTTGTAAGTCTGTGCGGTCTGTCCTTTCCTTTGCCCTCTTTTTTTCAAACGTGCCGGCTATTTCCACCGCAGCCCAGGCTTTTCACTTTAAATCTGTGCAGCCCGCGGAACGACGGTGTTACATAGATTACTCTGAATAATGTGGAATTGCTGGCTTCGGTTCCACGGGCTGCTTAGGGCTGTAGAGAGAGGCCAGGCTTCTGGGCCTCGAGGGCGGGATGAGAGGACACGGAGAGAGACGGTGGGCTCACGGACCGGCAGGAGCAAAGGCGATCCGGCCTCTAGATGTCACGCTGGGCCTCTCAACAAAGGCAGGCGTGTGGGAAAGCCACTCCCTGCGTTCTGAAAGGCTGCGGCTGATTTTCATGCAGCTGGAAGGGAAAGGGGGGGTTGGTGAAGACCTTGGGGTGGAGGCAGCAGTGGAAGGAAAGTTTGCCCTGTTCAGGATCCGTGCTTCACAGGATGTTGCCCTCATCAGCCTAACTTGGACAGACCAGCAAAACCACATTAAGTAAACCGGTGGCTGAATTGTAGGATTGGCTGCCGCCCTGACACTGCGCGCAAACCCTAGGTCTTTGCATGAGAACAAAGGCCTCCCCTGGCGATCGTGGTCTCAGGACGATTACATCCTTCTCACCCGGGTTCTTCCTGCCTCTCTTTGTAAGGTTCGGGATGCTTCCTTTCATCCAGGGGCTCTTTGGCAGATCACGTAGGGGCTCCCCTCTACCTTTGCCTTGTCTTGTTTCAGATTTCAGCAACGTGATTAGCAAGAGCGACATCAAGTCCCTGGCCGAGGCGGACGAACAAGAGGTGGTGGCCGAAGTTCAGGTGCACGTCTTCAAAAAAAGGGGTTGGGGTTTGTAATTTTTCAGGAAGACTAAAATACAGGCGCCAGCCAACCCCAGACATTTGGTCTGTTTTGGTTGCCCTGTCTACCGCGCCTCTGCCATTCTGGCTTGTGCAAGGAGCTGTTCCCATCAACCACCGGGGTCAGTGACCGCTTGCATCTTGATGCCAAGTTTCTAGACCTCCTTGTGCCCAAGTCAGAAATGTTCAGAAGAAAACCACACAGAGATGCAAAAAGTTATGGTTTGAGCATCCCGGAGGCCGTGCTGGAGAGCTGTCGGTCTCACCTCTGATTAGCAGCTGCTTGGCCCATCTCTTTACCGGGGGGGGGGGGCAAATTTATGGCCTTACTTTCATCTCCTCCTGGTTGGTTTGGCCCCAGATCGGTTCCCGAGGCCAGGAGCTGTGGGCGGCTCCCCACATGAGCACGGTAAGGAGTTTCCTTGGCCTTGACGCCGTCTTCATTGGTGACGGTCTTGAGCCAAAGGGTTTTTCATATCTTGGAAGATGCCCACTTCTGCAGTGCTTCTGTCTTTTTAATGTCAATCCAGGTGTGCGTGTCCACAGTTCCAGGTTCTGCAATAGAGCCGAGAATGCGCAGCAGAGAATTCCGTTGGAGGACATGGGCTGTCGGGCTCCCCAAAAGCTTACACATTTTGAAAAAAAACCTACTAGCCTTTCAGGAACCTCAAGACTTTTTGGCTGCAACCAACTGACGCCGCTCCCTGATTTTATTTTGCAGGAATTTTATGGAGACTACATTGCTGTGAACCCTCATGTCTTCTCTCTGAACATCCCAGTCTGCTATCAGGTAGGGAGCGACCAGGGGTGGGGTGGGGACACATCCGTGCCTCTTTCCTTCGGTTCACATGCAAAACCCCCTCGGGGCTTTCAGGCTGGGGGAGAAAAACAGCGACTAAAGGTGTCCGGTGGGGCTTGGCCAATCCCTGCCTTCTGCAGCCATGGGAGGCCGCCAGGCTCACGTGCCGCAGCCGGCGGGTGTTTCCTTAGGCGCGTGGCTTGAGAGCGCCTCTCTGCGTGGCTGTTAGTTTCGTACAATTATTGCGATTTTATAAAGTGTTTGGAATGGTGGTCAAAATGAAGAAGCCGCCTGGCTCTGGCTTGCAGGGTTTTGCAGCCTGAATGCCCTTTGGCTTTTAATGCCGTGTATCCAGCCGTTTTATCCACGGAGGCTTTATATCTTTATTTAGCATAGTTTGCCCCCTCTTTGGGGGTAAAGCCCCAGCGTGCCTCCCCTCTAGGTCTTGCTCTGTGCAGATTCTGGGGGGAAACACCCCTTTGAGCGCGGAAGGCAAAATGTCCCATTTGGGTGCAAGAAGCAACACCGCGGATCTTTGTTCTTGTTTGCCAAATCAGATCTTGTAAGTGATGTCCTTTCCTACGAGGAATGTAGTCTCCTGGGACGAGTTACCCTTTTGGGAAACAAGGAGGCGACCAGGCTGTCTTTCAAAAGTAACGTAACAAGCAACGTTCCTTGGTGTCTAATGAGTAACATTTACTAGTTACTTTCCAACATGGCTTCTAAAGGTCATTTTCGGGCATTCATGCTGTCGTTATTCCGGTCTTAACACTTAGTTGTTGTTTTTTTAAGTAATGGGGGGAGGAAAAGCACCAAGTGGTGCAATCTGGAACGTGATGAGATTGCTTTCCCTCCGGGGAATGGGTCCCCACCGTGAGCCTGATCCAGGCCTTTCTCGCACACACCAGGAACGGCTTCTTCCCTTCCGTCCGCAGGGTCGTAACTGGGATCCGGCCCAACTGTCCAGGGCCACCCAGGGGCTGACGGCTCTGCTCCTCTCCTTGAAGAAGTGCCCGATGATCCGTTACCAGCTCTCCTCTGATTTGGCCAAGAGGCTCGCCGAGTGCGTCAAGGTGGCCCGGCTTAAGTCTCTTGGGGTTGAAGAGAGGGAAGGGAGTTTTTAAAAAGGAGGAGGGTGGGGCCATGGTTAGAGCACGACGCTGGTTGGGCGGCCACCCCTTCTCTCTGCCCCCCCGTCTTCTTCTCTTTTTCCAAAAAATAAAAAATTAAACCTGGTCTCCTTCCCAGGGTGGTTGTGGGGCCAAAATGGGAAGGAGGAAAGCCAGGTGGGCCTTCCCATCTGAGGAGGGAGTGGGACCGACCCGTCGCCAGCCGAACAAGCAAGAAACACATTTTAAAAACTGGCCTCTTCCTCTTCTGATTTCAGCAAGTCATCACAAAGGAGTACGAGCTTTTCGACTTCCGGCGCACGGACGTCCCTCCGCTGCTGCTGCTCCTGGACCGTTCGGACGATGCCATCACGCCGCTTCTGAACCAGGTGAGCCTGGCCGGGCGTGTCGTTCTCCTCGTCCCCGCTCTTGAGGGCTGGCAGGAGCAATTCCCTTCCAATGTGTGCATTTCCCCTTCCCTCCTTCCTAGTGGACGTACCAGGCCATGGTGCACGAACTCCTGGGGATTAACAACAACCGCATCGACCTGTCGCGCGTCCCCGGCATCAGCAAGGATCTCCGGGAGGTGGTCCTGTCGGCCGAGAACGATGAGTTTTATGCTAACGTAAGTCTCTTCAGCGGCGGGTGCAGAAGCAGGAACTGGATTCCAATCCTGCCACCAAGTGTGTGTGCTTTCCCTGTTTACTTACAAGCCTGCAGCAGGCATCTTCCACTGAAACTAGCGTGGCAGGTGGAAAATAATCCAACCCACTGATATTTGGGGAAAGAAAACAAACCTCTAGGATGGGGCCCAGAGAGGACGGTCAAGCCAGCCTTTGCTGGAAGGAGAGGATGCCTATAATGCCAGCCCAGGGATGTCTCCACACACACAGAGAGAGACACCCCTCGCTTTCCAAGATATGTGGCTTATTAAATCAGCTGCTTTCATGACCAGTCGTCCCTTGGACTCGCTCTAGAACATGTACCTGAACTTCGCCGAGATCGGCGGCAACATCAAGAACCTGATGGAGGACTTTCAGCAGAGGAAACCCAAGGAGCACCAGAAGCTGGAGTCCATCGCGGACATGAAGGTAAGGTGGGAGGCCGCCGGGCTGACGTTTACCTGCCTGGGACAGGTTGCTAGTAGCAGACTCACTGGGGAATTTACGATCCATCCACGTGTCCGGGATTTGGCGCTTCGCTCCGTGTAAGGCAGCTTACACGGACCAAGGCCACTTTATCGCTTCCTAAGCAAGTTGGATGTCCAAAAAAAGGAATGCTTTCAAGCTTGGCGCGGGAGAGGGGGAAGGCTTGCGGCCGCTCTGCTGATGGGGTGAAGCTCCTTGGGACCCTGGGTGGCCTCTCGCTGCGCTGGTTGCGTTTTCCCCTTCGCACCTCGTCATCCCACCTTCTACAACCTGCTTCCCCCCTCCCTTCCAGGCCTTTGTGGAGAACTATCCGCAGTTCAAGAAGATGTCCGGCGCTGTTTCCAAGCACGTGACGGTCGTGGGCGAGCTTTCGCGGCTGGTGAGCGAGAGGAACCTGCTGGAGGTCTCGGAGGTGGAGCAGGAGTTGGCCTGCCAGAACGATCACTCCAGTGCCCTGCAGGTACGCCCGGCCTTCCGACCGGGTCTCTCTCTGTGCAAACCCACAAAACCGTGCTTGGGGTCTGTGCATCACACACACACACACACACACACACACACACACACACACACACACACCCCTGAGATGTTCCACAGAGAAGCTGTGTTTTCCTTTGGGGTGTTTGAAGGAAGAAATATATTTGGGGCAATCTTGGTCATGATTTCTTGGAAAGTCTGTTGCACAAAGTTGGGGCCCTTCTGTCCGACTGCGGAGGGAGGACGCCGCGTCTGGTCCCCTTATACAGGGGGCCAGTTTTTGATCTGAAGTGCGTGCTTTCCGTTGCCGCTTGTCCTTTGGGGTTGGGGCTGGAGTTTCCAATTGGTCGGTGGATTGTCCAGCCACCCTAAGAGTGAAGCAGGCGGTGTTGGACAAGGGAGGCAAGATCAGTGGTCCTGGGAGGCTCGCTCGCCCACCTGTCAGCCGCCCTGAAGGCGATGCTCTTCTCCCGTCTGCAGAATGTCCGGCGGCTTTTGCAGAACCCCAAAGTGACCGAGCTGGACGCGGTCCGGCTGGTGATGCTCTATGCCTTGCGGTACGAGAGGCACAGCAGCAACAGCCTCTCGGGCCTCATGGCGGACCTCAAGAACCGAGGGGTGTCCGAGAGGCACCGCAAGGTACGGGGTGCCGGGGTTTGTGTGGGGAGGAGGGGAGGTTCGGGAAGGGAGACTCCCTTTCAGAGGGAAGGTCAGGTTGCAGCCTCGAGCACCTTTGGTGGATCCGTTCAGATGTGCCGGTTTTCTCTTTCTGAACAGCTGGTGTCTGCTGTTGTGGAGTATGGAGGGAAGCGAGTGCGAGGGAGCGACCTTTTCAGCTCTACAGATGCCGTGGCGATCACCAAGCAGTTCCTCAAAGGACTGAAGGTATCACGTTAGCCCTCGTTCGTGCATTTTGGTCCCCTTGCTCTCTGCTGAAAAGTTGCTGTCCAAGTGATGCAGCAGAAGAGGAAAGAGGATCAGGAAGGAGGAGGGGGAAAAAAAACCCCCGCAGCTCTGCTTGAGTCTGTCAACATTACGTGCTTTACCCACAGCTGTTTTGTGTTCCTAATGCAGGGGGTAGAAAATGTGTACACCCAGCACCAGGCTCTCTTGCACGAGACCCTGGATCAGCTCATCAAGGGCAAGCTGAAGGAGAGCCAGTACCCCTACCTCGGCCCCAGCACCCTGCGCGACCGGTAAGGGTCCCGGGGGGGGAAAGTGGGAACCCGGGGGGGGCGGGGAACGCCTAGGGAGCAAGATGGCACCAGGAAAGATCGCCACCTGTCCCTTCCAGGCGGGACATTCGACGTCTGTCTCCTCCTTTCCCACGGCAGGGAGGGGTGGCTTGGCTCTCCGTGAGCCGGGCGGCTGAGGAGCCTCTGCTCTTTCTGGGAACTCAGATCAGCTTGGAGGGCGATAGTCCCTCACCTGCGTGTGCCCAGCGTGGAAGGAAAGGGGGTTTCCAGCTGTGGCCCCATCTAATTTCAAAGAGTGTGTGTGCATGGGGTGTACGTGTCTGTGTTTGAGAGAGAGAGAGAGAGGACAAGAGAGAGGGTGTGTTTTGCTTCTTTGCACATCTCACTACAAAAACGACATGTCCCATAATGCTGTTTGGCGGTTTACAGAACCTGGGCTTCGTCATTTTACAGCCCTCCCCCTGGTTCAGAATCTGGAAAAGTAACTTGCTCCCTGGAGGCTTACGGGAGGGGCTTCCAGGCCAAAGAAAGGAAAGGCCCGGTCGCAGAACCCAGCGGTGCGTCCCCTGCGCTGGACGGCTCTTGCTTCCCCGAGGGAACGGGCAGCCGAGGCCCCAGTGCTTACGCTGCAGCCGCAGGCCGGTTGCCCCGTGCCCTTGACACATGGGGGTTGCTCGCCCGGGAGAGGGTTGGGTTGGGTTGGGTTGGGTTGGGTAGGGAGGGAGGTTATTGATGGACTCTCAGGAGTCAGACCAAAGCCTGGGGACGCCTGTGGCTTCGGCTCCCTGGCAGATCCGAGGGCAGCCTTTGTGAAGAAAGGGGAGGCTCTGGACAAATCTGGCTGGTTGTATTTCCTTCACCAATGCCTTAAAAAGCACAGCCCCTGAGATTTGAGAGCGACCTGATATTTGGTCAATTAGATGAAACAAAACAAAAATGAAAAATCAAGCAGAACAAAGACACGGGAAGGGTAGAAAACCAAGCGTTGTTCTCCTGGGAGAATTTACCTTCCTTTTTTCGCCGGGTTTCACTCTTGCTTTTAGGCGGCCCTCCCCTAGCCTTTCCCCTTTCGGGTCTTCTTCCTATTTTTAAACCACAAGTACTATCATCCTCGTCCGCCCCAGTCATTTCCACCCCCAACCCGGTCTTCTCGGCTCCCTAAATGGCAAAGCTGTCAGTCTCTAGGCCTGGCGGATTACAACTCCCATCATGACAATGGGTGTCCTGGGTGGGGGCGATGGGAGTTGTAATCCATCCAGCCTAAGGGCCCCAAAGGAGGCTTTCTTTAAATAATAATTTAAAAAAGCTCATGTGTGAGAACCAAGAAGATTTTAATTGCTTTACAAGGGGTTTGATTCTTTGTTATTTGCAAAAGCCAACATTATAAAAGGTTCCTCTATTCCAAAGTCTCTCTTTTTTTTGCCTGTTGACCTCCTGTTGAAAATGCTTGCCCATCATTGCTGTAACTTTTCATTGCTGTTGCAAACCAGGAAAAAAATAACAATTTTGTTCTAAGTTGAGACTAAGGGTTTTTGGCTCATGCCAAATTCATTGTTTTTAGTCTCCCCCGCCCCCTTATAGAGGAGGCGAAAGCAGGTCCACAGTTGGAAACCTTCTCTCTCTCTCTCTAGCCTTTATGCAAAAGGGCGTGGGGATGGGGGGGTGGCTTCAGAGGGAAGCCCTGCTCCCCTCTTCCTCTTATGCCCCAGATCTATCCGCCCTGCCCCACCAAGCAAAGGACTTTGCGTGACTCACGCCTGCACTGATGCGCAAAGCCAGCTCCAGCTTTCTCAGCGAACCGTTCCACCTCTCTGCTTGTGCTAAATATATCCTGCTTAAGTTTAAAAGCTTGCCAAATGAGCTGATCTCACTTTCCCCCCTCCCCCCTTTCCTGGTTTGGGTTTAAGTGTTGTATTTTTTATGGGGGGGGGAATTGGGAAAAGGCCTGGTGGTCCTTAAGGTCTTTATGCCAATGCAAGAGCAGGAGAGGTCTCTGCAGGGCCACTAAAAAAAAAAATCAGAGATACAGCCGGCTCTCCCTCAGCCTGTGCACCAGATTTTATGGACAGAAATGTCTCTCTGGACTTCTTCTGGTGCAGGAAACTGCTCCGAAGATCTCTTCCATGGGGTGCAGGTGAAAAGAGAGGTAAGGGAAAGCAGGCAACATGTCAAGGCAAAACATTATACAGTAATATGAAAGCCACATTTACGTCTTTTGGCTTGTTTATTTAGAAGGCTTGGGGGTATGTTTCTCCCTCCCCTTTCTGTCCCCCCCCAAGCAAACTACAATGAAATAAGGGGAAATATTTTGAGGATTTTTTTAAAGCAGAACTTAAAACAGTTTTAAAAGCCATTTTTACGTTGCCACATTATAGCACTTCAAAAGCGCACACACACACACACACACAAAAAGGCATAGCAGCCGACCGTGGACGGCGTCTCTCTTGGCCATCGGTCAATTGACAGAAATCGGCTTGAATGGGAAGGAGTTGGCTAAGCGTCTGGACAGACAAGGGAGGCCTTGTCTGTCTGAAGGACCGGCCGGCCCCAGTCCTGTCGGGAAAGAAAGAAAAAGGGGGGGGGGGGAATTGGGAGAGGCCCAGAATCCCCTTAGCGGGGCCCCCTGGGTGGGAACGTGCACAGTTGGGCTTCCGGCGCTTTCCATCTTTCAAGCCCGAGTTCCCAGAATCCTCTAGCAGGCAGGCGGGGAGATGATGGGGGTTGTCATCCAAAAAAGGAAGTTGTCCAAATTCGAACAGGCCGACAGCCCTCCTCTCCTCCCACCTGGTTGTGAGATGGATGGCGTTTCCTTTCCGGTGATCCCCCTGTTTCTTTCTAAAGGGGCTCCCGGATGCCTGCAAGCAAGCAGACTCACCTTTTGCTCCCATGTTGGCAAACGAAAAGAATGTCCGCCCTGGGCGTGGGCTTCCCTGCTGGGCCAAACTGGAAACCCCAAGAGAAAGGGTGGGGAAGGGTTGAATTGTGGGCTCCCTCCCTCCCTCCCTCAAGCGTATCCCCCAATTCCTTGCAGGCCTCAGGACATCATTGTCTTTGTGATCGGAGGGGCCACCTACGAAGAGGCCCTGACGGTTTACAATCTCAACCGCTCCACCCCTGGGGTCCGGATCGTGCTCGGAGGGACCACAATCCACAACACGAAAAGGTAAGCCAGAAGTTGGGGCTGGACATATTGGGGGAGGGGAAATGCTGGGGCTCTGGACTCCCACCACCACCACCATCTTCTGTGGCCGAAAGCTCTGGAATTCAGCGCTTTCCCGTTTTCTCCTTCCTTCCGTAAGCCCACACAGTTGCTTCTTCACTACCAGAAGTCCATTGCCTTCTTCAACCGCGGGGCATCTTCCTTAAAGAAATCTTGTGTTCTTCGGCTGTTGTTGCACTACAAATCCCATCATGCTTGGCTGGGCTGGCTTAGGCTGAGGGGGACTGGCCTTGAACAACATCCTGCCTCTGCTCCCCGATGGGAAAGCTTTTGGGGCAGGGGGCCTGTCTGCCGAATTATCATTATTTTCTTTCCATTTACAAGCGTCTCGTCTTCCTTGTCCTGAACCAAACCTGGCGGGCGGGAGTGAGGATGGAGGACCAGAGACAAGCACTCGGAGACAAACAGGGCAAGAGAGCTGTTTCTCCTGGTCAAGAGAGAACGAGAGAGCTTTTAGACCCTAATTAAACATGAATGCGTCCCTCGTGAGTTGCCACGGCTTGCCTTTTAATCGCTCCTCTGGAGAGGTTTCTCGTTCGCCTGCTCCAAGCGTGCCCTGAGATGAACCGCCTGCCAAGTGCCTATTTTTACAAGATGAGGGTTGCGCCCATTTTTGTGTATGCGAGGCCGCGTGGAGACCTCGGATGCCCCGGGTGGCACCAAAGGCACGCAGGCTGGCTCGGCCTTGCTGTTGGGCAGAAGGAGCAGCTGCTTCAAGCCCGAGATGGCAGCAAATCCCCCCCCCCCACCGCTTTCATCCCAAAAGTGTTTCTTGACAGTAGCCAGTGCAGTGCCGTGGAGAAAGCATCAGGAGAGGCCTGAGCAGGGAGGGATCCACATGTAGTCCACGTTTGCACACGTACCCCACCGAGTGGTATCTTAACTCCGCACCTGTGTGGTTCCTGACACACTTTCTTCCCACGTCTGTAGGATTTTCCCTACCTGATTCCCTCCAAAACATTGCTTCTATCTCGGCATCGGAAAAATTCATCATGAGTTGTCCCCCCCTCCCCGCTTTTGAAATAACAGCTGTGTTACATAGTAGAGGGAGGGGGACGGATGGGAAAGTAGAGAGTTTTAAACCCCCACCCCCTCCGTGAAAGACCAAAGGGTGGCACCACTTTTCAGTTGGACCCCAGTTGTAACTAACTTCCTGAAAAGTGCATTATAGAGGCAAGTCTGTATTAACCCACTTCTTTACATTTTTTTAAACCAAATCCTGATGAAATTAGCTTGCGTTCTTTGGTAGCTTTATGGGGGGGGCTCCTCCTTGTAATTTATGGCATCGCTCACGCCCTCCCCCTCAGCAGACCTAAAGCCTGTTTAGTCTCCAAGCTTAATGATAATAGGATTTTTTTAAAAAAAGGAAAGAATAGCAATCAGATGGATAAACTCCCGGTTCAGATCAGAAATTAGTTTAGACTGTGTCTAGGGTTCGGGTCTCCTTGCCTGGGCCTGTCCGAGGCATCCGGGTGAGAGGGTCGACGTGTGTGGCGGGACATGAAGCATGAACCTAACGAAGCGTTTTTCTGCTTTGGGCTGCAGTGCCCAGTGGTCAGACAGCTGGACGGGATCGTTTTGGCCCCCCTTTGGTATGATCAAGTTTCTAGTGCTTAAGATGACTAAACCAATAATCTAGCTTCAGAAAGATCTCACCCTTCACCACTGAAATGGACAGCCTTCGTTATGGCTGTCGGGAAAAGAAATACAGTGGCTTTCTTGCTATATCTTTTTTGTGTAAACAGATCCTGCTTCAGGACATACAAGTATGTGTGTGTGTGTGTGTGTGTGAGAGAGAGAGAGAGAGAGAGAGAGAGAAGAGAGAGAGAGCGCGCAAGAAAGCAAGTATGAGGGCTATTCCCCCATGAGGCATCTACTTTTCTGCTTGACAGAAAGCCTTTATGAATGATTGATTGGGACTCCTCTGCCAGGGAGGGAGGGAGGTGGGTATGGACTGAGCTTCCCAGGCAGGCAAAGCCTCTGTCGGTGGCTATGGGATCTCCCTGACGAGTCATTAATTAATGGCCTCTCCTCCCTGGAGGAGGAACTCTGAGCAGCCAAGGTCTCGGGTTGTAGAGCTGGACCCACCTGGGTCTCCATGAGGGGCAAAGGAAGCCAGGATTTGGGGCTGGCAGGGGAAGAGGGATGCCAGGCCAGTGAGACTTTCTCCCTCTAAGCTTCGGCCAGCAAGGGTGCTGGGAGGGGGTGGGTAGGGGGGAGGCTGTCTAGCCTTGACTGGGGGGCACCAAGGTTATAAAATTGTGCCCCCAAACTGGTAAGCAGCCCCCCCCCGGCTGTCTGCCTTTAATATACAGGATACAAGGTTCTGATAGAGCCCACGATGCTGCTTTTCATTGAAAGGTTTCTGTCCCTTCCGGTGTCTGAGAATCTCAGGACAGGGTAGGAGCGATAAAACAGCACAAACCGGCTTCAAATAACGTGCACACACACACACACACACACACAACCCCAGGGTTTCAGAGGTCTGTCCCCGCCTGTCCTGTCACAATCACTCCGGGTCCGGAGAGCAATCCCCTTTGTTCTCACGAGGGCCTGCCCATGAGATTTTGCCGCCCGAGGTCAAGGACAAGGTGGGGCCTC